TGAAAGCATTTATTGTTAGCATTATTGTGCTTTTGCTGATCCATAACTGAAAAAAAAAGAAAGAAAGAAAGAAGAAAAAAGCATAGAAGACCCCATTTGTAATTACTTCTTTGTGTAGCCTTACATTGAAATCTCATGCTACTTCCTTGTTGCTTATTTCCCAACCATCTTTATCTTTAACTCTACTTTCGTTTCTTTCTAGCTTCCATTATAATTCTGTTCATTATTTTTTTTTCTTAACTTGTTTCTTTGTTGTTATTCGGGTTACTCCCAAAATCACACTCTTGTTTGAGTTCTTATGTGCTGTCTAAACCACTTGAAATGCACATAGCTTTTAACTTTGCTAGACTCACTTACCGATTTGTTTGAAGTGCATAAGAGTGTACTAAGTTGTGAGGGAGAGRTTGTAAGGGAGCSATACATTATTTTGAGTGTTGAGGGTTAAACACGAGTGAACTTCACTAACGAGTGAATTAGTGAGGGAGTGCTTGTGAGGTCCATTTCTTGTCACTTTATTTTGTTTTTACAGYATGGCTAAYCTTGGAGRTGAAGGCAATATTTCTGATGCCCGGAGGAGAGAGGCGCTAGAAGGAACTGTTGAACGAATGATTCGTAGCATGGAGGCATTGACAGAACGGATAGGAAGGTTGGAGACTCAAAACCAAGCTGAAGGGAGAGTTCCACCACCTCCASCAYCACGTGTTATGGATGAGGATGAGTATGAAGGTGATGGATCCGATCATTGGGAGGACGATCAGGCTACAGTTTTAGCARCTCCAAGAGGGGGTGATAGWCACGTTGGTYGTGGCTTAGATCGAGGGAGAGGCCGGGGAAGAGGCTATCATAATTTCCAAAGAGCCCCACGAGCGAATGCTCAAGTTGATCGAAACTTGGGAAACATCAAATTAAAACTTYCGAAGTTCTATGGTAAGACTGATCCRGAAGCGTACATTCAATGGGRGAAAGAAGTGGAGTTCGTGTTTGATTGCCATAATTTCAGTGAAGAAAAGAAGGTACGACTATGTCTTGCTCAATTCAAAGATTATGCAGTAACATGGTGGGACAAATTAATGTCAATTAGGAGACGAAATCTTGAGGCGCCAATCGATTCATGGTATGAGTTCAAGGAGTTGTTGAGGAGGCGATTTGTTCCTAGACATTTCCACAGGGACACAGCGCAAAAGCTCCAAGTGTTGAGACAAGGTAGTAAGTCTGTGGAGGACTATTACAAGGAGATGGATACGTTGATGAATCGGCTGGATCTTGAAGAGGACATGGAGAATCTCATGGCACGGTTTCTTAATGGCTTAAACAAGGAGATTGCGGATAAGGTTGATCTACAACCTTACTTTAACATCGAAGAGATGTTGCACCTTGCCATCAAAATTGAGAAGCAGCTCCAAAGGCGATCTCAAGGGTATTCTACTAAGCCCTTTTCCCATTCATCTTCTACATGGAAAACGGATAGTAAGAGTGCTGATTCTAAACTTAGAAATCGAGAGGCATATGAGAAACCAAAAGAAAAGTTTGAGAAAGGAGAGAGTTCCAAGAAGAGGAAAGAGAAAGTTGTTGAATCTAATGTGAGAAATTGGAATATTAAATGCTGGAAATGTCAAGGAGTAGGACATTACAGTCGAGACTGCCCCAATAGAAGAACTATGATAATTAGAGAAGGAGAGTTTGTAACAGAAGATGAGAAGGAAGATGAGGTAGAAGAGGACGACAATGGTAAATGTGAGAGTGAGGAGTATAGTGAAGAGGACCCTACACATATGTCCTTAGTCACTAGGAGAGCTCTCAGTACTCAAATTAAGGAGGATGGCCTAGACCAACGAGAGAACTTATTTCACACTAGGTGTCTTGTCCAAAATGTGCCTTGTAGTGTGATTATTGATAGTGGTAGTTGTACCAACGTTGTAAGTTTTATTCTGGTCAAGAAGCTTAACTTAGAGACAAAACCACATCCTAGACCATCTAAACTTCAATGGTTGAGTGATTGTGGGGAGGTAAAGGTGAGTAGACAAGCTCTTGTTTCTTTTGCTATTGGAAAATATGTTGATGATGTTTTGTGTGATGTTGTACCTATGCATGCCGGAGATATATTGTTGGGTAGACCTCGGCAATTTGACCGTCGGGTAATGTATGATGGGTATGCCAATCGCTATTCTTTTACTCATCATGGAAGAAAAACTACTCTTGTACCTTTGTCACCAAAAGATGTGCATGTTGATCAATGCAAACTTGAAAAGAAGAGGCAAGAGGCTGATGCAAAAGCAAAAAGTGAAAAAGAAACAAAAGAAAATGAGTTGAGAGAAAAAAAGAGTTTGAGTGAAAAGCAAGGGAGTAGCAATCAGCCTAGTGGGAAAAATGAGAGAAAAGCCAAAACGGTGAGCTTGTATGCTAGTTCAAGTGAGGTTAGGAATGTTTTAATGGCGAAACGGACTGTTCTTGTACTTTTGTACAAAGGGTCTTGTTTTCTTACTAACGAGCTTAACACCTCCTTGCCTAGTATTTTTGTTTCTCTTTTACAGGAATTTGAGGACTTGTTTCCCGAGGAGATGCCCAAGGAATTGCCACCACTTCGTGGCATCGAGTATAAGATTGACTTCATTCCCGGTGCTACCATACCTAACCGACCAGCTTATAGGACTAATCCTACTGAAGCCAAAGAAATTCAAAGGCAAGTGGATGAATTGTTAGCTCATGGGTATGTACGCGAAAGCCTTAGTCCTTGAAGTGTGCCTGTTATTTTAGTGCCTAAAAAAGATGGAACTTGGAGAATGTGTGTAGACTGTAGGGCCATTAATAAGATCACTGTTAAATATCGTCATCCTAATCCTAGGTTAGATTATATGTTAGATGAATTGCATGACTGTAGTCTCTTTACTAAGATTGATTTGRAATCTGGGTATCATCAAATTCGTATGAATGTTGGAGATGAATGGAAAACTGCATTTAAGACCAAATATGGATTGTATGAGTGGCTTGTTATGCCTTTTGGTTTAACTAATGCTCCTAGTACTTTCATGAGGTTGATGAACCATGTATTGCGTGAATATTTGGGAAAATTTGTGGTTGTTTATTTTGATGATATACTTGTGTATTCGAAGTCTTTGGAAGATCATGTAATGCATGTGCGTGCTGTTYTGACTACACTTAGAAACGAGAAATTGTATGCTAACCTAAAGAAATGTAATTTTTGCATGGAAAKGGTTAATTTTCTTGGTTTCATTGTGTCTAGTCGAGGAGTTGAGGTGGATAGTGAGAAAGTTAAGGCTATTAGCGAATGGCCAACTCCCACGAATGTTGGGGAGGTTCGAAGTTTTCATGGGCTAGCTAGCTTTTATCGGCGTTTTATTAAAGACTTTAGCACCCTAGCTTCACCTCTAAATGAATTGGTADAGAAAAATGTTCCTTTTGTTTGGGGTACATCCCAAGAGCATGCTTTTAATGTTTTAAAGGATAAGTTGTGCAATGCTCCTCTACTTGCTTTACCGAACTTTGATTTGACTTTTGAAATTGAATGTGATGCAAGTGGGATTGGAATTGGGGCTGTACTAATGCAAACCCATAAGCCACTAATGTTCTTTAGTGAAAAGTTGAGTGGTGCTTCTTTGCGGTACCCAACTTATGACAAAGAACTTTATGCTTTGGTACGAGCTCTGCAAACTTGGCAGCATTATCTTTGGCCAAAGGAGTTCGTCATTCATACGGATCATGAGAGCCTAAAGCACTTGAGAGGGCAAAGCAAACTGAATCGCAGACATGCCAAGTGGTTGGAGTTTATAGAGACATTTCCATATGTGATTAAGTATAAACAAGGTAAGGAGAACATTGTTGCAGATGCTTTATCACGAAGGTATGCTCTCTTTAATACTTTGAATGCTAAGATTTTAGGATTTGAACATCTCAAGTCCTTGTATCTAGATGATGTGTTCTTTGCTTCTTTTGTTGAATCGTGTGAAAAAGGACTTGTTGTTGATGATTACATGTTGTTTGAAGGATTTTTGTTTCGAAAAGGAAAACTTTGCATTCCATCTTGTTCAATTCGTGAATTGCTTGTAAAGGAAGCTCATGGGGGTGGTTTAATGGCTCATTTTGGTGTTTCTAAAACTTATGATATGCTTGCTGAACATTTTTATTGGCCTAAGATGAAGCATGATGTGCATAAAGTGTGTAAGCATTGTATTGCATGCAAACAAGCTAAGTCTAGGTTACAACCACATGGTTTATATTCACCTTTGCCTGTTCCTACTACTCCTTGGGTTGATATTTCTATGGATTTTGTCCTTGGTTTACCAAGAACTCGGAAGGGTAGGGATAGTATATTTGTAGTGGTTGATAGGTTTAGCAAGATGGCGCATTTCATACCATGCCATAAAACYGATGATGCTAAATTGATTGCTGATTTGTTTTTTAGGGAAGTTGTTCGTTTGCATGGCATTCCTAGAACTATTGTTAGTGATCGCGATGTAAAAYTTTTAAGTCATTTTTGGCGTGTGTTATGGGGAAAGTTGGGAACCAAACTTGTTTATTCTACTACTTGTCATCCYCAAACTGATGGACAAACTGAGGTAGTAAATAGGACAATGGTTACCATGCTTCGAGCAATCATAGATAAAAATCTTAAAACTTGGGAGGATTGTTTGCCATTAATTGAATTTGCATATAATAGGGCTGTCCATWGTACTACTAAATGCACACCGTTTGAAATTGTATATGGTTTCAATCCTATCTCCCCACTTGATTTGTTGCCTATGCCTCCTAATGAATTTGTGAGTTATGATGCTAGYACAAAGGTTGATCTTGTCCATAGGCTACATAAAGAAGTTAAGGAAAGGATTGAGAAGCAAAACACTAAGGTTGCTTCCCGCATCAATAAAGGACGCAAGCTCCTTGTTTTCYAGCCAGGGGATTGGGTTTGGGTACATTTTCGAAAGGAACGGTTTCCAACTCAACGAAGGTCTAAGTTGCTACCACGAGGCGATGGTCCTTTTCAAGTCCTTGAACGGATCAATGATAATGCTTATAAGATTGATTTGCCAGGTAAGTATGGAGTGAGTGCTACCTTT